GAGTTTGGGTTTCAGCCTGATGGACACTGGTTGTTATGGAGAAAGTTCTTTAAACGAGTCAGGGCAAAGTTTCTTAACTCGTTGACTGCCAGAGTTTTTTGAGCATTTTGACTGATTTTTCAAGAGCCACAGAATAGTTTGTGCTAGGACTATGTAAACACCGAACACACCAAAAGAAAGAGTAGACTCTCTTATTTCACCAGGGAAAAAAATGTGTTTCTACCTTATTCCGTTCTTCCTCGACTTGCGTCGACTTTTCTCTATCTTTTTGGGGTTCAGCCTGATGGACACTGGTTGTTATGGAGAAAGTTCTTTAAACGAGTCAGGGCAAAGTTTCTTAACTCGTTGACTGCCAGAGTTTTTTTTTTGAGCATTTTGACTTACAAAGAATGCTTATTTTTCCTCATCAGATGGTTATCAATTCTTATCAATTCATATGACGTGATTTTCTGGAATTTTCTTTGGGATTCTGTCTTTCACTGTTAGAATGTACATATTCTATATTTCTATATTCCATACATATTCTTCTGTTTCTCATAGAAGTGTTGTGCACCTAACACCAAATCAAATTCCTTGTAGGTGAAAAAACCTACTTGGCAATAAACCTAATTCTGATTCTGATTCTGATTCTGATTCTGATGATTATCTCATTGACTGCCAGCCATTTTCAGAACAGAGTCCCATACTACCAGAGTTTTTTTTAGCATTTTGACTGATTTTTCAAGAGCCACAGAATAGTTTGTGCTATGACTATGTAAACACCCAACACACCAAAAGAAAGAGTAGACTCTCTTCTTTCATCAGGAAAAAAAAAATGTTTCTACCTTATTCCGTTCTTCCTCGACTTGCGTCGACTTTTCTCTATCTTCTCTGAGGAATTTGGGTTTCAGCCTCATGGACACTGGTTGTTAAACTAGAAAAAGTTATTTAAACGAGTCGGTCACGTCTGGGGGAATGTCTGGTGTGTTGTCATGTCTTGATCACCTATTGTGTACACCTGGGGTTCCCCTCCCTTATGTGTTTAAATAGTCCTCGTTTCCCCATTTCCTGTGCCAGTGTGTTCTGTCACAAAAGGTGGATCTTAGGGAGGACTCAGTCGCGGAGAGGGTTAGTTCTAAGGATTTTATTTCAACAAACACACTCAAAAGGAGTGGATGGCAGACATGGTTCAAAACAAGGCTGTGAAAAAACTATGGACAAAGTAGCAAAGCAAGATTAACAAAAACTGTGGCAAAGTATCAAAGTAAGAGTAAACAAGGCTATGGCAAAAACAATAAAGTTAACAAGACTGTGGGCAAAGTAAGGCTATGACAAAAACATGGCTATGGAACAAATACAACACTATGGCATGGTGCAAAAAGCAAAACCTTACGTGGCGAGGGGTGACGAAGAAATGACACACACTGGCACAGGACATGGGAAACGAGGACTATTTAAACACATGAGGGAGGGGAACCCCAGGTGAACACAATAGGTAATCAAGACATGACGAGACACCAGACATTCCCCCAGACGTGACAGAGTCAGGGCAAAGTTTCTTAATAATTAGAGAAGATCGATCTTGTCCAGTAAAGGTGTTTTATTCAAATGTAGATCACAGAGTAAATTCAGGTTAAAGGCACGTCCTCATATCTAAGTAATTCTGGGGAAAGGAAAAGGCCACTGTGTTTGTTATCAGAAACAAACTAAGAGATTCTGATTTACTTCTCAGTCTTCAAGGAAGTCCCATGGAGGATCTCCAAAAAGGAAAAAAGTTATACTTATTTGGATGGACCAAAAGGAGAATCTTCTCAGGAGATGAGTGATGATGGAACAAAGGAAAAGTTGTACAATTTCAATGATAAACACAGAAATGGGAGGTCCATTCTTGATGGGATTAAGGAAATTGTCGGATTTCCTACAGACATGTGAGACAATTCTCCCTAAAGGAGTTAACAACCAGGGATCCTTAAAGAAGAACCAAAACAGAAACATCTCCAGGACATTTTTCCCCTCCTGTCCGGGATTTGTGTGTCCAGATTTGTCTCCTATTGGCTCAAATAGTTCACCAACCAACTGGAAATCATGTTCCCTGGGAGAAGCTTTCTTTTGGCCGTTTTTGGGCTGAAATTCCCCCGATTTCATCTGAATATTTGGATTTTCATTCCCAAAGGCGGATAAGTACGTAAAAGACTTTGGATACGTGAATGGGAATCTGTTCTGGGATGCTTGAAACAGCCGTCCGTATGATGAAAAGGAGCCGGAAACTGGCAGGAAAATGCTTACACGGGCAGTAAATGTTGGATGGAGGAGAGCTGGGAATCCCGCTGAGGCCGTCTGTTAAGAGCCTTCTGTATCGCCATCTGACAGACTTTTTCTCAGATTCCTCCCTCCCTGTCTAAATACACCCAGAAAAAGCTTCTCCAGAGTTTTATACCGACACAAAGGGACACTTTCGCTCCCGTTTGTGGTGGTCTAGTTCTAGTCTTTGGAGCAGATTTTTTTCACCCAGAAGCTCATTTTAAAACTAAAGCGCAGGTTGTTTGTTCTGAGGAATTGATCTGAGGTTCTGAAGTAATCTGGTTAGGAAAATACTTCCTCATTCAGGCCGCTGGGGGAAAAAAATTGCTTGGTTTTGTGTTTGTCACAGATTTGAGGCTCATTTTTAAGCTCTCCAAGCCTCAGTTAGACGAGAAAAATCGACAAAATTCACAATATAACCCTCAGATTTAGAAGGCTGTGTTTTATGTCAAAGTTCTCCATGATCCTGGATCTAAAAAAGCACCAATTCTTCCACCTGAATCGGTTTTAAAAAGCCCCGATTGGTCGCTAACATCCGGTTTATTTGGTGGCGATCTGGAGATGTTGGTTCTTAAATGTCTTTGTGTATCAAATGTGTGGATCTTCCTCTACTTTTCGGGCACTTCAGACGCCCTTTGACCTCTTTTATGAACAATTAAAGCCAAAAAGCGCGACTCGGGGGTTAAAAAACATAGAAAAATCATCTGAAATCTCTGTTTATTTTAACACAATGTAAGAAACATAAACAGATATAATTGACAGATTTGTTTCTTTAATCAAAAGTAATCCATTTTTTCTCCCCATCTTTAGGATAAACTGAAATATAAATAAAGGAAAAAATTGTATAATTGTTATTGCGATTATACTATTTAAGGAAAAAATCTCAGAAATTTCTCCATTGAAGGAAGGGATTTGTTTCCCCCCCATTATTATTTTCTCCTTTTCTATTATTTCCGGTTCTGAACTGAACTCCAGAGTAATTTCTTTAGGAAACAAACACACACATTTCCACCGCTCACGTGAAAAACAGAGTGTGTGTGGTATAATTTCAAATATAACCTGATTTTAGCAGGTCAAACAGTCAAACTCCGACTGTAAATGCGAGTCAAAAAAATGAAAACTCACTAGTGCTTTTCTCTCCCAGCACGCCTGAACTTTGTAGACCTGCTCTGACTCATCTCTAAAACAGCTATTAACCCTATAATGCCAAATGGATCATATCTGATTCATACGGTTTCTGAAGTCTTTTGGATCTGAGACTTTTTGCATCATTCAGTGGTAAAAGCTTTGCTCAAACCCCTGTTGTACACATTCAGATATACCTGATAACAGCCAGTAGAAGACTACACCCAAATATATTTTTGACTTATTGCACGCTAATTTGATCAAAATAATTTCTGTTTTTTTTTCTTCATATGTTGTTGTGGGGCCAAATAAAGACTTCAGACAAAAAAAATCCAATATTCTTCCTATTTTTCTTGGATCAGGCTTTGAAGGGTTAACTGGACAGACGGTAATGAAAATGTCCGGTTGGTTCTCCTTCCAGGAGTTAAAATAACTGTCTAAAATACCATGAGAATAAACCAAAACAAGCTTTTTAAGCACTTTTCGAGGCTTCTGTGACCTCTCAAAAGTCTTCAGCTTTCCCTATAATGCTAAATGTATCATATCTGATTCATATGGTTTCTGAAGTCTTTTGGATCTGAGACTTTTTGCATCATTCAGTGGTAAAAACTTTGCTCAAACCCCTGTTGTACACATTCAGACTACAGGAAAATATATTTTTGACTTATTGCACGCTGATTTAACCAAAATTATTTCTGTTTTTTTTCTTCATATGTTGTTGAGGGGCCAAGGAAAGACTTCAGACTAAAAAAATCCAATATTCTTCCTATTTTTCTTGGATCGGGCTTTGAAGGGTTAAATATTTTAAAAGCCCTTTCCTCCTTCCAGGTCTAAGAGAAGTCCTCCTCATATTTTGTTTCTAATTCTGGAGGATTGTTTAATACAGATGCAGAATGGAGGGCAAACTTTACGTCTCATTTTAGACTCAGGCTGGTATAAAATGCTCTATGATTTTGTTTTACTTTGGAGCAGCTTCACTTCATGAAATCCAATATTCTTCCTATTTTTCTTGCACCAAAATATGTTTTTGACTTATTGCACGCTGATTTGATCAAAATAATTTCTGTTTTTTTTCTTCATATGTTGTTGAGGGGCCAAAGAAAGACTTCAGAC